CCCCCCCCCCCCCCCCCGCCCAAGCCCAAGTATACACTTCAGGAGCTGTAACTTTATTAGAATATAAAGTTTTCATGAAGAGGACGACACGCGTGGCTGAAGACATAAGAACGAGCTAGCATTCTCGGTTGAACATTTGTGCAGGAAATTCCCGTGATCATTATTTCATATTTAGAGAATCTTGAACTTTTTAAATGTTCCGGTTGCTTCTTGGAATTGCAAACAGGCGCATCGTGCCAAGCGCCAAGTTACTACAATAGCCTGTTTTTTTTTTTTTTCTGAAAAGACATTTCGTTATTAATGAAAAGCTCACTTACAGGCAACACTCGATCTCCTCATAATCAGCCTAAAAGAATTCTATTGCAAATGTCTTCAGTGGTGTTTATTTGTAGTTTGATTGATGAGGAGTGATAAGATTGCAAGTTCCAAGTTTGGCTTTTTTAATTCGAAAAGTTAGCTCAGATTAAAATCTCTTCTCCCGAAAAGAGGAAAAGAAAATATACGGGGAAAAGGATTCATGACAAATCAATAAACAGTTAAACATTACTTGAATATTGAAAGATTTGAAATTACGTGATTTTACTCACGTGATGGTGCACGAGATCGGGCATTCAGTTGGGTTCTGGCACGAGCAAAACAGCCCTGACCGTGACACCTACATCAGTGTTATATGGGAAAATGTGCTACCAGATAGGACTGCGTGACAGCTACACAAATGTTGTTGGCGATATTTGGGGGCTTAAGCAATAACATCGGCGACGCAGAGGACAACGCCTGGTAAAAACTGGATTTATGTTTTACCTTTGGATGCAGCAATTTTCTAGATCGGTTCAGTAGGCCTGTCGGTCTAAAAGCATGCTGAGGCAAAATATGTAATGGCAGCGTCAAGTTCCAAATCGAAATGCGAACATTTCTCCGCCTTGGCACTCGTTCTTTGATATACGCCGAACTTGGACACTTGTTGTTTTGTAGAGGACGGCTGACAAATGTACCATGATTTAAAACGCACATGCAGGGGGTTTGTTCTCCTCGTTAAATCTTTTCTTTTGGTGATGTTCTCGTTAACGTTGTCGTCGTAGTTTGTTTAAGCTCCCTGTTTTTAGCATGTGAACTGCATGATGTCTGTCGATATTAATGCTGTACGCATGGATTAATTCAACGCGTCAGGGTACAAATATCTTCATAAGATTTTATGATTATTATACGGTTTCACTGTGTTTCTGGTAAGCAGGGATCAAATCTTCATTAACACTATTATTGGAAGAAATTAAAAGGAAAATAAAAAAGGTGTTCTTTGTTAAATATTTTGACGTATTAGTACGAAGCGCATGTAGAATCGTGTTGACTTAAGATTTTGAAGATCGTAAGCTGCACGAAAAAGTACGCATTGCGGATCGTACTTTAAGTGGTTTAAACAGCCGGCCCGGTTTATTCGAAAATAACGCTATCCACCGTATAAATCACTAGAAAGTGGATAGCGTGGTTTGTTTTGTTAAGGCTTATCCACTGGATAGCGATTTATCCGGTGTATAACGTTAGCCACCTTTCGAATAACTGGGGCCAGGTCTTTACCGACATGCCGTTTGCCTCGGTTTCAAAGAGTCCTCGTGCGAAGTTTTTCACAGAATGGCTTCACGCGTAGACTCGTCTTGACACAGATGCAAAAGGAAACTCAGAAAAAGATTTAAAAACGTGTTTTATCTGCATGAAATTGAACGAGCACATGAACACATTTTCATAAGAATGGTTTCGCACAACTGAAAACTCGGAAATGCCTTATTTCTTTTCCATCATTTCTTTCTTCAAGGTCTTGAAGACGCCTTCGCCAAAAGGAAATGGGGAACTGAAGTGGTGGATTATGGTGTGTCGTACGATTTCGAGTCCATCATGCACTACACGTTCACAGCTTTCTCCTAAAATGGCAAACAAACCATCAGTAACATAGTGCCCATGAATGGAAAGGTCCCGTATGTGAAGCTGAGTGACGGAGACGCGAAACAGACAAATGCTATGTACAAGTGTGACGTTAGGTATTTTAAAGGGGCTACGTCAACTTGTTTCCTTAGTGGCAACAATTAGAAACAGGTCAAACGTCCCACGACCATTGCAACTCTGAGCTACGTGTGATCAGTGGATTTAACAGAAACGTTTCAAGTTAGTCATTCATAAATCTGTCTTTATCTTTCTCAGTGTCAGCTGTCATTGTTCCTTTTTGGTTTCTGAATACTTGTTTCGTGTTTTGCCACCATAGTAACGTGCTGTTTGCTTTGATTTCCACATTGTTTTGCATATTACAGAATGTAATTTCATTTCATAAACACCATTGTTTTTATGAGCCTCAGATAAAGAAACGCCCACGCACAAAATTAAAACAAAACAAACATGTAAACAAACGAAAGATGGAAGTTTTACGATTCTTGTTTTTGTCTTCAGCTGTGATGAGGAAAAGAGCCATTGATGATTTCAGCTCGTTCAAACCAGTCCCGCGCATCCAGAAACGAAGTAAGTGTTTTGCCTCAAAACGTGGTGCCTTTTTTCTGAGATATTTTCTTAATAACTTTCGTTCTCTCTCACAAAGGATCTTCCTCTATTTAGTAAATACTCTTTTTCTTTGGCCATCGTACTGTAACCTAGCAAGAAGTAACACGCAAATTGCGGTAATAAACATGACAAAAAAACGCAGCGTCGGAAAACAAAAAATATATCTTTTTACTCGACATTTCGTATGGTTCTACATACATCTTTGGAAGTGACTGTTACATAGAGTCTTAAATCTAAATTTAGTTGTTACTTGTATTCTCAACGGTCACTTCTGAAAATGTATGTAGAAACACACGAGACGTCAAGAAAAAATATATAACTGTTTGTTTTCAACAACGCGTTTATCACCGCAGTTTTTGTGTTATTTCCCTCTATTTGTATCTATATCTATGGCAAATCCGATTTCTGTAGATGGTCCTCAGACCAAACTTCTTCAGTAATATAATATTTTTTTGTCATCAAACTGCGGCTGTCTTTAAATGACTTTCTCTATTAGGTTCCGGTTTGTGCAGAGACGACACACGCAAATCAAGCTGCCAATCATGGAAAAGTCTTGGGTACTTTGAACAGCACGCCTCTAACATGCACACGTGGTGTAAAGTCACGTGCAACCTCTGTAGCAGCGGTAAGTAGTCACCAAGCCCCCGTCCACTTTATATGGGAAAAGGAGGCTGGTGGCTTGTTAGGAAAAATGGTCTCTCTCTGTATGCTATGCTGTTCTCATGTCAAACACAAAATTGACGCCCACGGACAATTCTCATCTCAGACGAGTTGAGTAGAGAATTGTTTGATAATCACGTCATCATACTAGGAGTTGTCAGGTCATCTTCGGAAGTTTATTATCGGTGTCTGGAAAATCATCGGGGTTGTCAGGTCATCTTCGAAAGTCGTAGGAGTCATCGGGTCATCGTCGGAAATCGTCGGAGTAATCAGATCATCTATGAAAGCATCAATGTTATGGGGTCATCTTCGGAAATCACAGAAAGTCATTCAAAGCAGTTAGTACAAAGGTTTTCTCCCTTAAAGGTCCGGTAATACGAGCAACATTTTTCTACAACTTGTCCCGCAACATTGTTGCATTGCAAGTTGAAACACTCTGTTGCGCGTATTACCACTTTTGTGACCAACTTGTATCGCAGCAAAATGCTCATTATGAGAAGCTTCATGGGTGCGGTAAGGCCATACAAATCCTTTTGTCTTGCTCCTTGTCCAACGTAGATTCATTTATGGATAACGACGGCAACTGCCCAGCTTGGAAGAAAAGTGGAACTTGTCAGACTCACCCGGATGTCATGAAAATCTGTTGTCTTTACTCATGCAACTTTAATTTGTAACGGTGAGTTGTGCACTGAACTGTCATGTGACCAAGTACCCTGACTTTTATGCGTCCGACACGAGGAATTCGCTTGACAATCACGCTTAAGACCATTTATAGATATGGAAATGACAAAGAAAACGAAAAATTGATTGTCTTTCAGTTGGTCTTTATTACCACCACGTTTATTTCCGGTGGATCTGTAGGAAGAAGCTACCAGGAGTATTTCCACTCCTCCCACCCCGGGTGGGATGAAAGTTACACTCGAATATCCCTAAAGTGTATACCAAGAAATCATTTCTTATCATTTCTCTGTTAAGTGTCGTTGTTATTGTTGTTGGCATTTCTGAAACACAATGGACCCGCTAAATGAGATTTTCACAGTTTTCCGTTACATTTAAGATAAAAAAATTTTCAAGTTGTCTTTTAAGGCTCTACGTATATCTGTAGTAAAAGAAACATTCTGTTTTTTTTTGCTTAAAATTTCTTTTGGTGGGTTATTGAACTTAAATTGAATATCTGCCTCTTCTATAGCTCCACCGACCCAGGCTCCCACTCCACCGCGATCTTCCGACAGATCCGATTTTACCTGCTATTCTCTTCATCACCATGGGCATCGACATCGCCTCGTGGAGAATTTGCATTGGTTCCTTTCATCCTCGTGTTACCGTATGCTTATCTTCAATTTACACTATCAATTACTTTTGCGTATTTCCGGTATTACGTAAATATCGGCTACATAAAAACACGTACCAATGTAAAAATCTTTCATTGTACCTGAAGAAGGCTGGTTTGGCAAGCCGAAATATGGTACACCTTCAAAAAACCATCCTACGTTGTGTCGGTTTTTTGCTTTTGTATTCTTCACCTCCTCAAACAACTCAGCCAACACCGCCTACCAGGGATTCCATCTACCGGAAGTCCTGCTGTACCACCAACATCCGGTCCATCGCGAAACGCCACAGGTACGTGCAATAACAAACCAAAACCAATTAAACCTCAGGTGACTTCCCACACTTTATAACGGTTTCACACATCAGGTTGAGGCCTGCACTTTGCTGTGTTCATATATTTTCCCACGCTTGACGGCTCGTCACCTTCTAAACTCAACCAATCAGCAACCTTCCCGCGCTTAGCACCATTCACACGTTTTCCCACGCTTGTCACGGGTAGCATGTTTTCCGACACGTGTGACTTGTTTTCCCGCTCCTTGCACTGGTTGCTTGTCTCGTCTCGCAGACATCGGTTACACTTTTATTCTTGGATTGATTCTATGTTTCCGGGCGCTTGGCACAGGTTAGCTATTTTTCAGCGCTGGTAACAGATTCAATATATCCTGCGCTTTGCAATGGTTACACAGTTTCTTTTAACTTCGAAAAAATGAGGGTTCGAGAAATCTAGATTCCACTGCATTTAGTTTCGTCCATTTTCATTTCCTTTATTCTTGCTATCCACCCGATTAGTTTCCATTTGTATGATCCAAGCTCTTCATAGTCGTAATATAAGCCTGCTTCTTTGTAGTTCGAGGATTAAATCTAAAAAAGTTCTTTTTAGGTTCCTGTGCTGATCCACTTGGTCTTTGGTGGGAAAACCGACTCCCTGACAGCGCATTCACTGCCTCTTCACAGCTGTCCTCTGGTAAGAAACGGTTGATTTACCTGGCAAGAATGGGTTTTACTGCATGCGGCTGGTATCATTCTCGTCCTCAGAGGCCGCGTACCAAGAATCACGTCTTCTGGCCGGACCCGATTTTCTGAACGTGCGCAGAGTATTTGTTTCGTATTCTCAGCCAATCAGATTTGCCAGATTTGACGGGAAGTCCGTGAATCGCGGACTTCCGGTGTCTCTGCGATTGTTCAGAAAATCGGGTCCGGCCAGAGGTCGCGATTATTGGTGCTGACCAAAAGGAGTGCAGCCTCTGGGGACGAGGATGGGTAGTATAAGACGTGTAGGTGGCATCGCTTTGAGTCTACTGTCACACATCTGTAATTGGTTAAAAACTCATGCAAAGTGACTTAGAAAGCAGGAGAACTTGCTATTTTCGCACCCAATCAGAAAAACCTTAAAAAAAAAAAAAACAATTAAAACTAAATCAAAACGTGACTTTGCATAAGCGCGTTTTCCCGTCTTTTGCACGTTTCTCCCGTCTTTCGTCTTTTGCACGAAAACCTTGTACCAGAATAAATTTAAGTATATCTTAGTCCTTTTTCTATTTTCTAAGAGCTAAAGATATAAACGGTTGCCTGAGATAACACCAAAAAAGAATTTCTCATGGGAAGTGGAGAAAATAAATTTCAAAGTTCGGAGAAACTGTGCAAACACAAGTGAAATTTCATCATCAGTTTCATTTCACCAGTACTTTCAAATGTTTGATATGAATTTCAAAATTTGTTTTCGACATGTGGTGTTGTTAGAAATGATTTCTTTTGAGAAGATATTTAGAACAGTCACACAGAAGTTTCCAATACAATGTAAATAATCTCGGTTCAAAGTTTTTGTCCGCTTTTTACTCGAACTTAGGTGGCGTCTTTCTTAATGTGTCGTTCACCTTAACTGATTAAATTCTACTTAGTATAAGATTTCCATTCTAGGACGGGATATATTCGTTGAACACGTCAAAAGGTACGAACTTGCATTCAGCACTGATGCAACGAACTTCAAGAACTACGGGGAGAACGGGAAATCGAAGGTGAGAAGCTTTCATGATAGGTTACGTAGATAGAATCACAGAAAACCAATATGAAAACAAAGATAGCTTTATTTTGTACAGCTGTTCTCTAAAAATTAAAGGTGTCTATTAAGAATTGAAAATGACAAACGACGGTGAGGAAGAAAAAGGGCTAGACTGGTCTGAAGGAAGGCTTCACTGAAATGTTCTTAGGATTGTTCGGGATGATTTTAAAATCCATTTGGAAACGTTTCATTCCTACATGGGAGTCGTGGAAAGTCTTAGCTGGTAAAAGAAATTAGTCCTCGAATGGTTAGCCTCTAAAGAGCGATAACGCGCCAGGGGACATTTTTACTGAGTTGTTGCTGGGAGAAACGAGAAGAAGAGAAGGTAATGGAGTGATGTTCTTTAAAGCATTTTCACACTTTGATTCTCTCTCTTCTTTTTTTATCTCCACTGGTTCACGTTTTATATCTTGTTTCCTTCCTAGGTATTCGACGGTAGTTGCGACAACTTCACACCGGTTCTAAACAGGTTTAATCCTGTTAAAGCACGTTATGTCAAGGTTCTTCCTCATGACAGTCCGTCAACCTGGGTCTGTATGAGATTTGAACTGTACGGCTGTGATGCTTAAGGTAAGTTGTTAGATTTGTAGTCTAGCCCCAGCGTATCAGTCACTAGTCTGTAGCTACCGCTGGAGATCTGTCTGTTCGAGAAATGGACAATATTTCTTGTGTTTCTATTTAGGTCTGTAAGCATTTGTGGAAATTGAGCAGAATTAATTTAACCAACAACAACAGCAAGGTTCGGGCTCTTTCAAAGTTTAACAAATTTGTCCTTTGCCAAGGTTTCCTGAGTAAATTCCCCTAAAACCTGAATTTTGTCGCTATTCTATTACTTTTCAGAGTTGACAAGAAAAACCCACAGATCTATCAAAGCAATTTATGAAAGAATGGGTCTTGTAAAATGAGATTTGTTTTACGTAGCGATAAAATAAACTTAATGCAAATATAAATTGCTTGCCTGATGTTCTGTGTGTCTACTTTAGCACCCTCTGCTTGTAAACAACAAACCAATTGTTTTGGTCTTTAATTTGACTTGTGAAGTATCATGTTTGCAACTTTTCAATGAAAACGGTATTTCACTATATACGCCGAACACAAAGTTTATTTTTTGCACTCTAACATTATAAGCTATTATACAAATACGCATCTTTTGCCCTCAGAAATCAGGAAATGGTTTTTTCAAGTGGGCATATTATTGCGGGGGACGAGGAATGTTATCAGAAGGCCTTTTGTGTTTCAGAAATATGTCAGCTTATATTTGTGTATCAAAGTCTAT